AATTCATAACTGTGTGCATATGTGTGGATCAGAAAACATCATCAATATTAATCTGTAGAAAAGCAGGGACTGTATACCTGAGATTATTCATGAATCTGAGTCACAACTCAAAGTATTGAACAGCCTCATTCTTGAACTTTAAAAAATACACTCAATGATAGTGAATCACATCACAGATAATAAGCATTCAGTATTTCATTTTCTGATGAAACTTTAAGAAGTGGTCAGAGAGGTCTTTCAATGTACATCTGTCATCTGCAAGGTCAATATGGACCTTCTCAATGAGTTGAATAGATCTAGGCATCAGTGTTTTCAAATAATCTTGTGTCATATCAGCCTTGACATATTTCTCACAAAAGAACTTAGTCTTAGAATCTTTAATTGTGACTTCAGTATGAAGATTCTTGGCCATAGCAATTATAGCATCAGTGTGAATGTGACTGAGATTGTAATATCAATTCAAAAGAGTCTTTGATATCTTTGATATCTGTGTTTTCACATCTGCAGAATCAATATTATTAACAGTAGTGACAGCAGTCATAGAAAGATCAACTTTTCAGTCAAAATTGTACTCATGAGACATTGCAATATACTTGACTGCCTTGTTCAGATAATTGAAATCCTCATTGAACTTCTGTTCATTGATCTTATATATGTTATTCTGAGCAGTTCAAACTGCATGAAAAATAACACTGTTCAGAGCTCTGCAAATGAAAAATGAGGAAATAGTGAAAGATAATATAAATCAGAATCTCTGATCTTCAAGCTTTGTAAATAAGAGCAGATTAACTGTAATATTAGAAATATAGTGAACATTCTGCAAGTTAACATCATCACTCTCAATCTTCAAGGTGACAGTCTCAATCTTCTTGACAAACTCAGTTCCCTCAGTCACAGAATTGACAGAGATATTATTATTAAAAGGTTTGATATTTGAAAAAGAATGAAGCTCACTCATCATATTCAGGCTTACACATGTGTTTAAATATCAAGATCTAGAGGATGATTTTCTGATGACTGTGAAAGAGAAATAGAACTCAATCTTTGTAATTGCTGTATTTACTGCTGGTTGAGAACTCATCAAGTCATTCTTCTTCTCTTTCTTCTTATCATTCTTCTTGTCATCCTTCTTTTTCTTTTTATCAGAGTGTAAGATGAAACATCTATCAACAGTATGTTCATATCTTCTGCAGTGAGTGCACTTTCATACAGATGTGCTTTTGTCCTCATCTTTGTTCTTATCTTTATTCTTGTTCTTTTTCACAGTCACAGAATTGGTCTGAGGCTGCTTTTTCCACTTGATGATGATCTTCTTGAATGTACAATTGATCAGTTGCTTCATCAAATCATCAATATTAATGTTGATAATGGGTCTCTGATCAGTGGAGAAAAACTCATTCAAACATGTCTTGATAAACAGTCTTTGATAATCTTGTAGATTGTTGAGGAAGAGATTATGATATATATTCTCAGTGCTCTGACAGAGCTTCTTGTGACAGACAATAAGATAGCAGAAATATCTCTGAAAAGTAAGATAATCATTCTCCTTGACTTGTAATTTTGTCAATTTCTTGAAGATATTAACTTGTTCCTCTGTCAGTGATATTGCATATTCCATATTGATCTTGTCTCACAGAGCTGCAGTATTGTCAGCTTTCAAGGTTTCAATAGTAGTTTGAATGTTTTTAATAAGACTCAATAGCATACATCTATATAGAGACTTGGAACAGATTCTTCACTTCTCAGAGTTGATATGATGTGTAAAAGGGGATTCTCATTGAGTTCTCAATAGAATGTCAGTTTCATCAATAACTTTCACATCAGCTAACATATTAACATGCCAGGCTTCATAATTAGAGTCATCAAATGTGATCACTGATTTGATGTCTAGTGCATATTTGACTTCCTTCTGGTATTTCTGCAACTCATCTCTTGTGATGTCTCTTTGTGCAGATGTAGTGAGATGTTGAGTAGTTTCAGCCACAGCCATCTGATTCTGTAGCATCATCTGCATAAGATTCATAAGATTGCCTGTGGTGCAATAGATAGGTTGATTCAGATTACTATTAAAAGTCAGCATTTCAGAGGTGAGGAACAGTGGAGGATTTGATGAGTTGAAATGAACAGATTCTGTAGATGAATGTTGAGATTGACTCTGCTTTTCTTTGTTCTGAAGTTCCTTCATTGTCTCATCATCAAATTTCATACTCTGGTAAAAACTGACCTCAGTCTCATCTTGCAAGTCAGAAGCTTCCTCATAATGAGTGATCATTCTATCAATGAGTCATCTAGTGAAGCGTGTGGTCCTGAGCCTTGAGCTGAACTCTGGAGTAACAGGTGTATCACTCATATCAAGGTGACTCTGCTTCTTCTAGATGTGTAAAAAAAAAAGATAAAAAGTGATATCCTTCACAATGAAGAACGCGCTTTCTCAAAAAAAATAAAGTATATGAATTCACTGACTGGCAGATTCAGGGAAAATGAAATATCTCTAATAAAGAGTAAGAGTCTTTTCAAAAAAGATGAACTATTCATGTCAAAAATGTTGATTCAACATTCTAAAAAGAAAAACATGCCATTCAGACTATAACCTGTAGAATAGTTGAAGGTTGTATTAATAGATCTATCTACAGGAACATAATATAGTGGTGGGTCACGTGATCTAGTGGGATCGCTAACCGCAACGGCCGTAAGGGCCAACAATTATAACTTTCATATTATATATATTATCTATCACAGTAGATATAAGAATTACATTTGTTATTATTTTCTCTTTAAATTATTATTATCTGATCTTTTCAAGCTTCTGCTTATAAATTTAAACAGAAGTTAATCTTTTCTCTGTTTCATTGAGATATTCTCATAGTTATCTTCTGAATTCTTTTCTAATGTAATGTGATTGATATGAACAGACACTGATTCATTCTTTAAGTGAGAAGATATGTAGACTGATTAACAGTTAAAAGTAATATACTCTGATTAATTACAGTTGATATACACTTCTTATTAATATTGATCAGTGACTTCTTCAGAAGTAATCTCAGAGACTTAGAAGCCTGTTCAGATAATAGAGACTCTTACTTATATATAGATATTTAAGTCTACTCAGTTCATAGCATCTGTATCATTATTATTGTTTCTCAGTACAGATATATAAGTAACTGAATTATTTCTCAGTGTAAGTATGTAAGTATAACATCTTCTATCACTGTTCTGTATACTCTTGAGTTTGATAAGATGATTATTCAATGTCTGAAGCTGTGTGTAGAAGTTATTATTATTATTATTATTATTATTATTATTATTATTTCATTATACTTATATACAAGCAGAGCTTATGATGAGTCCTTGCGTGATGTTAAATACAGATCAAGTGTTGATTATACAGAAGGAAATACAGGTGTTGAGATCATATCAAGATAACAAGAACATAGAAAATACAAAGAAGTGACAATTAGATACATGCGATAATAACTTCTCAGCTCAGGAACATAGAGTGATTTTATTGAAGTGATTTGTACACCTCTGTATTTATTAGAAACCTGAGGTGCTTGAGTTCCGGATTTAATGTATTCCCTGCGGGTTTCGAACTCACACACCTTGGTTTCCCACGCCAAGGCGCTACCAGGTGACCGCATTAACCATTCAGTCACTGAGGCTGTGTGTAGAAGTCTTTATAAGTTAGGTCTTTATTTACACTTATAAGAGTCTGTAAGAGTTTGAAAGTTAATATCTTCTTAAGCATACTAATCTTTATTTAATTCTCTTAAGATTGATCATCTGCTTCTAAGATCTTGATATTGAAGTCAGAGATAAATGTTATAAGAGAAGTATTTCTCTGTTAAATACTCTGTAATCAATCTAATACTTTCTATTGTATGACAGTGTCTTGAAACAGAATATCAAGATATTTGATAATATTGTTAGATATTTATAACACTGATTAAAAAGATACCTCGGCAACAGTATTCAATACATAACCAGTGGACAACGAGTCAACAGCACACCAACAACTATAAAATCAGTATACCCCAAGGTCTGACTGAGCCTTTGATCCCTGCACAGTGAGATATATTAAATCTAGTTTTAATACCTCAATATTCAATAGATTCTGCAAGGGATTGAGAACAGCAACACTAGGTTTCTATTGAATTTGAGAATTAACTCTATATTGATATAATCATTGACAAAGTCTTCTATTTTGAGATATAAATAACCAGTTCCTCTACATCCCGCTGGCAATATTTATATTATCATATAGAAACAGACTTATATTCTCTATAATATCAAGACCCTGAAGAGGGAAAGTCTTGGTAGGGGGTATACAGTAGTACATATCTTAGCAGTTTCTATCTCATTCTTCTGCAGCAGTTAATGCAAAAAAAAAAAAAAAGATCTTAGAAATAGTTTTTTACTTCTCTTGAAAAAGTAAGGTGTTTTTCTCTGGGTTTTACACAATATTCTTACAAAGAATTAAAAACAGAGTTGTTTTCTGTCATAATTTCATATTCTTTTAAGTAAGAATTACTTTTTCAGTGGCTGAAGAGCTTTCATTAATACTTAATTCTTTTTTACACTCTTTATTAACTGATTTGAGTTGCACACTTGTTGTGTGAGGAGAATTGGATGATTTAGAATAAAATTGAATAGTTTTAATCAATTTCTCTGCAAAAAATTGATTTATTTTTTGTCAGTTTTTCTCTCAAAAACTGTCATATCATCTGATTTATTATCAATTGATATCATACTTTTCCTCACTGTATCTCAAGAAAGAGATTGTAAAGATTTTATTGATTTATCTTAAAAATCAATTTTAGTTTATTAGATTCTCTTCAAAAATCTAACCTAGTTACTGAACTAGTGTGAAAAAAATCAGGTGTTTTATACACAAAAGTCTTTTATTCTTCTTTTGAAACAGTCTGACCAACTTTTCAATTGAAAACAGACTTAGAAATATCTCAATTGAAACAGTCTGACCAACTTTTCATTGAGTGAAAACAATGAGTTCAAAAATACACTCAGTTGATGTGGAAAAAGATGCTTTCTCAAATGCTATTTCTGAGATTGAAATTCTGAAGAGAAGAAAGAAAGAAGAAATAGAGAAACAACAAGTTCTTGAAATACAGGAACTTGAAAAAGCAAGCAAGATTCTTGGAAAGCAGTGTCTGAGTGAGATGAATGAAGAAGTTCTGTTAATTCTTCATGCTCAGGCCAGACAACTACAGGAGGTGATCAAGGTCAAACTTGGAATCTCAAACACAGTTCAAAAAACCTTGAAAATTCCTAGTACAATCACTGACTCTTCATCTTACTCTTCTTCTTTCTTTCTTCCTACTTCTTCTTCTTCTTTGAATCAGAAGAAAACATATGCTCAAGCAGCTGAATCTGCTGTCTCTAAACCTGCTGTCTCAAAACCTGCTCAAAATCCTGAGAAAACTGAGAAGAATACTGCTCATGCCTCTATTCATAGAAAAGTGGAAAAGAAAATGCAAAAAGAGAAAAACTTTCAAATCTCTAGAAATAGAAGACTCATTCTCAAAGTCTCAAACCAGGACATTCTGCAAAGAAACAAGCTAAACTCAAATCTCATTTTCAGAATCAGAAATGAAATTAATCAGCAGTTCTTTTCTCAGTTGATGACTGATATTGAAGTTCAAAAACCAGTTATAGCTTCAATTGAGCCATCATTCTTTGGAAACTCTATTATTCTGACTACAATGCCTGAATTCAGTGCTGAATTCCTTATTCAGAATGAGAATCTCTGGAAGTCAGCAGTAGAATCATTGCTAAACACAATAATTCTATCTGAAAGAGATGAAAAGTGGGGCAAATTCATTCTTCATGATATTTCAGTTGAAATTTTTGACTGTGAAGAAGGAATGCTACTTCTCAAAAATGAATTGAAAGAATACAACTCCATTCAACTGAGAAAGGAGCCTGTATGACTAAATTCAATTGAGTTCAGACAAAGCAGGAGAAATGTCTCTGTTCTAGTATATATAAAAACACTTGAACAGTCAAAGATCTCTGAAGTAAGAGTAGCAGGTTTGAAAATGAGAGTTCATGAATACAAAGACTCAAGAATGAATCTCAAAGCTCAAACACAGTGTTCAAACTGTCAAAGATATGGACACTTTGCAATCTCATGTTTTAGAGACTCAAAATGTGCATTCTGTGCCAGAGATCACAAAACTAGTGAGCATAAATGTGAAACATGCTCAAAAAGAGGTGAAATTTGTCAACATACTCTGCTTAAGTGCTCTAATTGCAAAGAAAAACATGTATCTAGCTCAAAAGAATGTATGTTTGCTCCTAGAACTCAAAAGAACTGGAGAAAAGATGAAGCTCAAAGTCAATCTAGAACTGAAGAGAAGAGTCAAGCTAGTAAACTCACAACTGCAAGCTCAAAAAGAAGAAACTCTCAATTATCTAAGTCTTCAAACTCCAATTCTCCAGCAAAATGTAAACAGAATTTGAATTCTCAAACTTCTGTTAAGATTAGAGAATTGAGAAATGACTCTGATGATAAACTAGATATAATGCAAGCAGTTGAGATTTCTACTTTTTGAAACAGTTATAATCTACTATCTGATGATAGTGATTAGATTCTTCTCTACTCTCTTTTAGTATGAATATATAACAAAAACAACAAAAAAAGTTTAAAAACTCTTCAAAAATCACATTTATTCAAAATAATGTGAATAGAAACTCAAATTGCATTTATTCTTGTCTTCAAATTGCATTTGAATAAAAAGTTGATTTTGTACTGCTTCAGGAGCTGAATTTTGATGCTGAGCAAAAATATGTCATTTCTCATTCAAGCTACTACTGCTTTTTACCTCAAAAGTCTGAGATAAAGTCAAGAGTAGTGATCTATGGAAGAAAGAGATCAAGATATCAATTTAATCTAAGATTTGATATCATGTCTGACCCTGATATTCTGGTGGGTGATATTATAGATAAAGAAAATGAGTTTGATACTATACAGCTCATAAATATCTATAATGAAAAGTCATTGAAGGAAAATAACAATACCTGGACAATTGATAGAGGATTTCTGAACATAACTTCATCAAGAAACTCTATAATTGCAGGAGATTTCAATGCACATCATCTCTGATGGAATTCAGAATGCAAGAGAGCAGTGAGAGCTGATAATCTGATTGAATGAACCTTTGAGCATTCAATAGATTTGGTTAATAAGTCTGATCAATAAACATTCTTTAGAAAAGGCATGAAACAGAAGTCTATTATAGATCTAACATTCATATCACAAAATCTAATGAAAAGAAGACTTGTAAACTGGTTTATTGATTCAAATGAGATATCAGAATCAGATCATGAGATTATTCAATTTGATATTGAACTGAGTGAAAAACAAATGAGTGAAAATCCTCTTCTCTCTAATCAGTATAACTTTGAAAAAGCTGATTGAAAAGCAGTTGAAGAAAGCATAAAACTGTTAAAATCTGAAAGACAGAATGAGCTATATTGGAATTCTGGTCAAGATATCTCAAATGAAATGCTTGAGAATAGAGTGAAGCTTATTACATCTATCATTCTAACAAGTGTTAGAGATAATATTCCAAAAAGAAAATCTTCTGAGTATTCAAAACCTTGATGAAATGAGAATATCTCATCTAAAAGAAAAGAATTAGCTACTGCTAGAAGAGATTGAAAGAATGATGTAATATCTGATGAAGAGTTCAAAACTGTCAGAAATGAATATTTTTCAGATATTAAAAGAGCTAAAACAGACTGCTGAAATAAATTTCTTGAAGAAGCACAAGAGAAGGAAGTTTTTAAAGCTTTTAACTATACTAAAACAAGAAGTGTAGCAAAACTTCCAGCTCTAGAATATGAGTTTCAGAATGAATCATATACAGCAAACTCTTTTGAGGAAAAATGTCAAGCTTTCATGAGAATTCTCTTTCAGAACTCATCAGATTCAGATTCAGATTCAGAGGAAGAGAATATATCACTTCTCAACTACATTGATGAAAATGACTGGGAATGGCCTGATCTTACACAAGATGAATTAGAGTCAGCTATCTTCTCAAGTTCTGTTAAAACTGCTGCAGGTCCTGATTCAATTAATCACTTGATTATTCAAAATACATATTCCTACTTAAAGAATGAATATTTTGAGCTCTTTTTCAATCTCTTGAAAAATGGATATCATCCTGAATGCTGGAGAGAAGCCACTGGAGTGATTCTTGCAAAACCTAATAGAAAAACTTCAATTCCTAAGTCATATAGAGTAATATCTCTATTGAACTGTTTAGAAAAGGTTTTAGAAAAGATAATAGCTACTCAACTATCTTTTATAAGCTCTATAGATGATTCTCTTTTATTCAGTGAACAAATGAGAGATAGAAAACAGTGTTCTGTAATTGACACTGTTCTCTCAGTTGTTCATGATATTCAAATAGCAAAGCATGAGGGTCTGGTCTCAACTGCAGTTTTTATTGATATAAAAGGAGCATTTGATCATGTTTCAAAGTCAAAGTTAATTCAGACATTGAAGATATTAAAACTGCCACTTTCTCTAATAAAATGAGTTAACTGTTTCATGTCTAAAAGAATTATACAACTCTTCTTTGATGGAATGAAACAAGACAAGACTGAGATAAAAATAGGAGTATCACAGGGGTCTCCAATCTCACCCATTTTATTTGCAATATACACTGTATATCTATTCAAAAATAGAAATATGAGAATAGTGCGATCTCTGAGTTATGTGAATGATATTGGTCTTGTCTACAGCTCAAAAACTATCAAAGAGAATTTGAAAGTAATTGAAGAAGCTGCAAAGGAAATCTTTGTTAGAGCAGATATCAATCAAATTCAATTTAATATGGATAAAACTGAGTTAGTTCATTTCTTTTCTAGATTCAATGAGAAAGAACTATCTCTAACTCTTTTAAATAGAGAGATTAAACCCAGTGTAAATGTCAAATGATTAGAAGTATGGTTAAACTCCAAGTTGAATTTTAAATATCACATTCAACAAAGAACTGTCAAGGCAGAAAGACTATTGAACAACATAATCAGACTATCAAATACAGAGAGGGGTCTATCCTTCCAGGCTATGAGACAGTTATATATAGCCTGTATTACATCAGTAGCTGATTATGAAGTTCAAGTTTGGTGAAATAATCAAGGGAATTTCACTGAACTCTTTCAAAGTCTGCAAAACAGAGCCTTGAGAAGAATTCTGGGAGCATTTAAATCATCTCCTATTAAAGCAATGGAAATTGAAGCTTCAATTCCTCCTCCTACTATTAGATTTAAAAAGGCCTGTATGAACTATGCTCTGAGAGTTGTAAAGATGAGCTCAAATCATATAATCAGAGAAAGAGTCTCTTCTTCATTTCCATCAATTAACTCTGGAAATGAACTGGATTGGAATAGATTTCTTGATTGGAATGAAAATAATTCTTTAAAGAAAATGCCTTCTCAACTGTACAGACTATGCTCTCTGATTAAAAATCAATTTTCTTCTTTAAATGTTGAAAAAGTTGATCATGAGAAGTTATCTTCCTGGAGAAAAAAGCTTGAATCTCTTATAGACTTACAAATAAGTGAACTATCAAAAGAGAAAGAATATGAACAGCATTTGAAGAGAATTTCTACAATCAATATAAAAGACTCTATTCTGATTTATTCAGATGACTCAAAAAATGAGAACTTGAATAGATTGAGCGCAGGCATTGCTTATACTGAAGATAATATTAATTTTATCTCAGATTTCTGGAATCTAGGCTCTGAATGTGAAGTCTTTGATGCTGAACTATTTGCAATAGTGAAAGCTTTCAAACTCATTGAAATAAAATCTCATAAAAGAGGAAATTGTTTGAAAGAGGCATGGATATTCTCTGATAGTCAAGCTGCTTTAAAAAGACTTAGAAATAGTCAGATTCATAATGATCAAATGAATCTTGAACTGATCTTAAACTCTGTTTTAAAAATTCAAGAGAGAAGAACATCAAAGCTGAGAATTCATCTGCACTGGGTTCCTGCTCATATGAATATTCATGGCAATGAATTGGCTGATTCAGCTGCAAAAAAGGGTGCAGAATTAAGCAGATCTATTCAAAAAATTGTGTCCTGATCTTTTATAAAGAGAAAAATAAAAGAATCTTGTTTAGACAAGTGGAATGAAAGCTGGCAGAAACAAAAGAAGAGTATACATTATTCAAGATTTGAAACAAAACCCAAGTGGAAATCTTGTTCAATTAAATGTAAAAAGAAAATATTCTCATCTATAATACAGCTGAAACTAGGACATGGCTATTTCAAATCTTATATACAAAGATTTGATGATAGATTTGACTCAATAGAATGCTCATTCTGCAATACAAATGAGAATCCTGAGCATATTATAATGCACTGTGCATTATACAATAGTCTCAGAGCCAGATTGAAAGAGAAGTATGATCTAAATCAATTAAATATGAGATTCTTATTCTCAACTGAGACAGGAATTAAATACTTAATAGACTTTCTATCAGAAACTCAAGCAGCTACAAGAAAATGGCTAAATTCAGAATTATCTGAATATGAAGAGGAGGAAATCAATCAGATATAGTCTGTTAAAACAGCTATACACTCTCTTTTAAGAATTTGTTTTGTTATAGTCTCTCTTTACTTTTTCTTTTTCTGTATCTTTTCCTTTCAATTTCTTTCTATCTATCTATTTAATGTGTCTATCTTTGAGACTGTGTTCTTTCTCTCTTTTCTTTTGTCATGATATTGTCAAATGGTTTCAAAGTATCAAAAGATGTTAAAACACTGCAATTTGTAAACAGTTTTTGTATTCTGAGCTGGAATTTTCTGATTTTGCATATCTGAAATTGATGAATGTACAATAGTTAACTTTACAGACATAGAAAAAACCCTGAGAACTAAAGTTCTCAGGTAGATGTCATAGTCTCTGACTGCA